TATGTGGCGTTGTACAGCCTCATTTTTGAGATCGCTGAGATGGTGTTCGGCGTGCACGAGATGAATCCGTGCACGAGGTGCACGGACACGTTATTTTAAAGCGCCTCGCTACAGGTTGGGAGCGTACTTTTCATACACGCCTTCCAGAAGTATTTACTAGGCACTTTGACAACCTGAACAAACTAGTCCGCAAATTCCACAATGCTATCGAAGTTCGTGCCCACAATACTGGTATCGGATTAGCAAGTCTTCCTATCTTGAAGACACGGGTGCCTATTTGCGAAGAAAATTTCAAGTCGCATTGTACTGAACTTGTCGATAAGATGAAAAAGCTTCAAGGCGATACCAACCGCAATTTTTCACCCTGCATCATGAATATGATGCGCGCTGCATATAACATATGCGCCGCAGAGAGTGGTCAAGGGTCTTTCAAGCGGATGAAAGAACATATGACAGGTCATGTTGAGCTTACTCGACATACTATGTTCCGCAAAGCGGCTCAGAAAGTGGACGAGGATCTTGAAGCCATGTGCAAAACCCTGCAGGGGTTGATGGGAGACAAAGTCAGTCGAATCTTTGACGATTTGGACAAGGACTACACAAGTGCGCTTGGTGATCAACCTACGCGAGTACTGACCAAGGAAGAGCGTGAAGTGAGGTCGGCGACCTGTCAAATCTTAAAAAGTATCGATGCGCAGTTTGAGCCTATCGCCAATGGAGATCTCAGTTCGGTGAATGCAGCCACCGCTACGAATACCCGGGGCGAAGAGCCGGTTGATGAGAGTGCAGAAGAGCATGATAGTATGGAAGATTCAGAACAAGAGTCTTCTGGCGATTCGGAACAAGAATCTTCTGAAGAGGCGGGCGAAGAGTCTTCTTAAGAAACGGGTGGAGAGACTCACAGCGTACGCAAGTCCTTGTGGGAGAAGTTCAAGGCACACAACCAAGCATGTGTTGAGGATGATACGGATGATGATGAGTAGGTCGGTACACTCACATCTACTTGCATCGCTCAGCCGAGCGGGGGGGGATTTTCTTCACTCTTTTCCTTTTATTTACGATGATGACGACAAGTCATGATACTTTACAATAACCCCCCTTCGCTTTCTTGACAGGTCATCCGACTGGCGTTCCTCAAGCTTTTCCGACAGCGTTTTGCAGGCTGGAGCACCGTTGCTATTTAGTTAGGAATGTCAGCTAGTCTGCTGGGGTACTGGTTGGGCAAATGGTGGAGATGCGAACCTTTCAGCCCCTGATTTTGATGAAGAACACAGACGAGTCCATCCGCAGGTTGCACTGGTGTTTCCCGGGCATACGATACGCTTCGCCCGCTGGATGTACTTAGCATGTCAAGATAGTAACACCAGCTACCTGCTCAATAAACGAAATACAAGAACATGGTTCTTTGGGAGAATGCCGTGTGTTGAGTGACGTGATGCGATGAATTGCTAACGCATACTACATATCCAAACAACCCACTCTACGCCCGAGACTAATACGCTCCAAGGCGAAGTGATACTTCTTGAACCAAAACCATAAACGCCGTATCATGATGCCATGCTCAATATCTGTACACAGGGACTGTCTAATCATCCCACTCCTCATCCAAGTTATCTATGAGTCTATCCTCATCCTCATTGCGGCGGCCTCTACGCGCATTATCCTGGCCCAGGGAAACGCGACTGTATCCGCGACGAGCCGGCATAAAGCGAGCGCAGGAAGAAGTCAAGATGACAAACATGTCCTTTTTGTTCAACGTCAGCGCTCAAAGAGGCCAAAAGGGACATTTAAACTAGATCAAACAGCGATACGACCGCCCTTCCGAAAGCACCGGAGTAAACTCACCGTGAAAAAGCGCCAGATACCAGCCCACATGGCATAGTTGGGCAGCTGGCGCCATCCGCGCTGGTGCATAACGGTGCGCTGGTAGACGCAGCCACCAGCGAGATATACGAGCACGGCAATCATGACCATGACACCGAAGACGCCGCCGGGACTCAGCGCCTGCGCTTCCTGGTGTACGCCGCCGCAGGCAAAAGGCGAGCGGCCCTCGAAGAAGTATGCACAGTCGTCTACTGCGGCGACAAAGGACACGGAGGTTTTGGCCAGGGGGTCGGAGTCACAGAGGAGCGAAATGACGGTCGTCTTGCGGCGTTCTTCCGTCTTCTTCTTTCCATCTTTTCCTTTGTCCTTGTCCTTGCCCTTGTCATCGTCGTCGTCGCCGTCGATGATTTCCCGCGAGTCGAGGGCGACTGGCTCGAGCGCGCGCTTGGACTTTGACGGCGAGGAGGGGCACAGCGAGCCACCCGTATAGTTGAGGATGAGTTTGCGACCGCGGAATATGGGTTCCGAACTCTCGAGGCTGTGGGGGTGGTGTTTAGTTAGCATTGCGACTCCAATTTGGTAATGTTTCAGCCTTGGGGAAGGGTGCGCATATAACAATTGTCACCATCGTCGGTCTTTGATGGTATCATTGTTGGCGGGCAGTAGAACTCACCCAATGGCCCATTGCTTGCTGCCCTTTTCGTAGAACGCGCTGACGTTGCGCCAGAGGGCCTTGTCGAGGTCCTGGACCTCGTCGAGCTCTTCTACGACGGGCCCGCAGAAGTTAATGGTGAAGTTTGCGCCATAGTCATAGCCTCTGGCATGCCAGCTGCCCTCTTCAGGCTCCTTCTTGTTGCTCTTCTTGCCATCAGACTCTGAGGGCGCCAGACGGCGCATGGGGTTCAGGTCGAAGAAGCGCTCGGTGGTGGGCGAGATGACGGTACATGGCTTGAGCGGCTTGTCCGAGGCGGCGGTTGCAAAGGGTAGCGCCGAAGCTGCAATGAGCACCAGGACGTGAAGTATGTGTATCATGACGGCGTTGGTCGGCGCACAGCGCAGTCAGGCGATACTTCGATGGTGACGGTGAAGACTGCGATGGACCGATCGCCTACACGTCTTGTCCTTTACAACACGTTGGCTTTCGGAGCTGCCACCCCATGTCGTAGTGGCTTGCACCCGCAGCATCCCTGGCACTCCGGCTGGGACTGGGTGCGGTTAGTGCCGCCAAGCCCAGCCTGTGCGCGTCATTACGGCTGCGAAGCTTCCGACCTCCTCTCCCATCGACTGATTTGTGTGGTCCTGCACCCAACTACATAAGGAGACCCTGTGTCCCCCCTCGTCTATTCACCAGGCGGCGCGTCAATCATCCACTAGAAAAGAGCCTGGGATTGTTTGTTGTTGTTGTGGGACGGAACGCGACGGACCCTTTTTTCCTTTGCTTACGTTTATTTGTTTGTTTGCGCCGTCAGCAGCCATTGAAAGAGCCACAGGACACAATTCAACAGCTGAGACAATGGCAAAAGCAACCGCCGACAAGGGCACCAAGAAGCTCGCCGAGGAGCCTCATGGCTATGAATTTCTAGGACCGTATGTTCCATCTTGATCGAGGACCCTGACTATCATCACGCTAACCGCATTGGCAGTCCTGGAGCCTTCCTCATCTCCTTTGGTCTTCCCCTTCTGGTCTACGTCTTCACGTTTGTGTGCAATGACATCTCTGGATGTCCGGCACCTGTGCTCCTCCACCCTGAGAGCTTCAGCCTGGAACAGCTGAAGAAAGAGGTCGGATGGACCGGTTTCTCTGGTCTGCTCAACACACAGGCTCTCCTTGGTACTCTTGGGTACTACTTCCTGAGCTTAGTCTTGTATCGTTTCCTCCCAGGTGAAGAGTGTGAGGGCACGGAGCTCAGGTCCGGTGGTAGGCTCAAGTACAGGTTCAATTGTAAGTCATGTTCACGTGACAAAAGTTTATTATGCTAATCCGCATCAGCCTTCTACTCTGCTCTCTTCATCATCTCAGTTCTCGCCGCTGGAACCATCGCGCAAGGTGTCGACTTTCCTGTCTGGACTTTTATTCACGACAACTACATTGGTATCGTCACCAGCAATATCCTCATTTCCTACTTCCTTGCCATCTACGTCTATGTTGCTTCTTTCAGCGTCAAGCACCCTAAGGATCCCTCCATGCGAGAGCTTGCAGCCGGCGGCCACACTGGCAACATGCTGTACGACTGGTTCATCGGGCGCGAACTGAACCCACGCATCAACCTGCCCATCTTTGGTGAAGTCGACATCAAGGCATGGTGCGAGCTGCGCCCCGGAATGCTGGGGTGGGTCATCATGGACCTTGCCTTTATGGTGCAACAATACCGCAACTTTGGCCGCGTGACCGACTCCATTATCCTCGTCACCGTTGCGCAAACCGTCTACACCTTTGACGCCCTATACATGGAGCCCGCCATTCTCACCACCATTGACCTCATCGCAGATGGCTTCGGCATGATGCTTTCATTTGGCGACCTTGTCTGGGTTCCGTTTACCTATTCTCTTCAGACCCGCTATCTCTCCGTCTACCCCGTCGAACTCGGCCTGACCGGTGTAGCCGGTGTATTGGCCGTACAGGGTATTGGCTACTACATTTTCCGCGCCGTCAACAACGAGAAGAACCGCTTCAGGACCAACCCCGAAGACCCCCGCGTCAGGTACCTCAAGTACATTGAGACAGCCGCCGGCTCCAAGCTCCTCGTCAGCGGCTGGTGGGGTATGGCCCGCCACATCAACTACCTTGGCGACTGGTTCATGAGCTGGTCCTATGTCCTGCCCACCGCCGTGTCCGGATACGTCATCAAGAATGCGGCTCAGGACCCTGTCACCGCTGCTCAGACCGATGCGCACTTCTTCAAAAACAGCTATGGAAAGTACGTTGTACCGGGTGAGGCCAAGGGATGGGGCATGATCTTCACCTACTTCTTCATTGTCTACTTTGCCATCTTGCTTATCCACCGCGAACGCCGTGACGAGGAAAAGTGCAAGAAGAAGTATGGAAAGGATTGGGATCGTTATGTTGAGCTTGTTCCCTGGAGGATCATCCCCGGTATCTATTAAGCGATGTCCATTCCACTAGGCGGGATAATGAGATGCAGGATGTAGCGCTACCGTTTTCCTTGCGGTTGAAGACGTGCATTCACTTGAGATGATGACATGTTGGATGTAGCGCTACCGCTTTTACTGCGGTCGAAGACGTGCGTCCACTCAGGATGTAGCGCTACTGCTTTGCTTGCAGTTGAAGACGTGCATCCATCTAAACCGTAAAAAGTTACTGTTTTCACACTTTCTACCTTATTTACTTGTAATCTTTTCTACGTTTTAGACACGCATGATGGAATGCTACCGCGCAAGCTCGGTTGAAGACATACATCTCATGTAATTTTGAAGAGAGGTTTGAATAAAGATATATTTTCGAATCTACAAAAAATCTCGCCATTGGCTTTATCAAAACGTTTCGAACGCAGTAGAATATCGTACATGTCGTGATCATGATCATAATCGTAAGCTGAACCAGCAGCCTCAAATCAACCTTCTCTTTTACCCTCCCTCTCTTTTACTCTTAAGAAAAAAAAACCCCTTATCGTACACCGGCACCCTTCCTCCCCACCCTACACCCTTCCTGCCACCTATTCTTCCTTCTACTACTACTACCTGCTCCTCTTTCCCCATCACTCCCCCCCTGCTGCTGCTGCTGCTCCTCCTCCCCCCTCCTCTTCTCAAGCGCATACTTGCGGCCCCCATACCCTCCCAGCACCAGTCCCGCCGCGGTACCCAAACCCGGAAAAATGGCATCACCGATAATTGTGCCTGCGCCCGCTCCAAGGAACGTGTCGCGCGTTTTATGCGACTCCTCGTGCGCTTTGTCGTAAGAGTGCGATTTGTGCGGTTTGTAGCGCCGCGAGTGGGAGTGGGAGTGGCTGTGGTGGTGGTGGTGGTGGCGCGAGGACGAGCGATCACGATCGCTGTGGTCCGAATCGTACGTGCGGTCTCGGGATCGCGGGTGATGGTGGTTTGGGTTGTGTCGTTGCTGGGTAGGCTGAGCGTAGTGGTGATGATGATGGTGGTGGTGATGGCGGCTAGACGGTGGTGGTGGTGGTGGGGAAGGAGAGTCAGAGTCGGAGATTGAGCCTAGGTTTGTGCTGCGGTCTGAGTCTTGGTCTGCGAAGCGGACGCGGGCGGGTTGCGAGTGGCTTCTGGTGGGTTGGAGGCGGGCGTTGAGGTAGCTGCTGTGTTGGCGGTGGAGTTGGGGTTGTGGTTGCGGGAGTGGTGGTGGGGAGGCGAAGTAGCTGCCTGGTGGTGGTGTTTGGGGGTAAGGTGCCATCATAGCTTGTTGTTGAGATGGTTTTTCGGGGTAGGGTTGGTGGGGTGTGTAGGTATTGTGTTGTTTCGGTGGTGGTGGTAGATGAGGATGCGCAGAGTATGATGGAGGCGGCGTGTTCATGTACGGTGATGCCGGTGGTTGCTGGTATAGCGGTGGTTTTGATGAATGTGACTGGTATACATTTGGTGGGTGACTTCCTGGAAGTTCATGGACGGGCTGTGTGCCCATATAGTAGTCCTGCGCTGCCATTTCTTGTAGTGTCCTCCCAGCAAATTGTGGATTCTATTATTACGCGGGATCCTATCGTGAAGTGGGTGAAAAGAAAATATAAAGCGTACTTGGAAAAAAACAGTAGGAAATCCAACAGGCGCCAGGCGCCTTGGAAGGCCTTGGCCAAGTTATATATACCAAGCAAACCCTGAAGGTCTTGTGCATCTGTCACCAGTCATTGCTTAGTACACTTAAGGGACGTCACTGCGATCAACAGGTCTAGTTTCAAATATGCTTAGTACGCATATCGGTACCTTCGGAGAGCTCGGCCAGCCCGTCAGTGGAACAATGACAAGCCCAGAAGAACCGTCCGGATGCTTCCTTTTGCTGCAAGTGGAAAGCGTTTGATTGACGTAATGATTCCCATGACATATTCTCAGTCGACAGGCTTTTTTTTGTAGATTGACGACTATGTACTGGTTCTGATAAGTACAGTGTTTGCAGACTATGAATGCCTTTGAAGGTGACTTTATAACACCAAACGAGGCGAGCCGCGGGCTATGCTGCACGCCAAGAAGACAGTGCAGATTTCCGCTCCCAATGAGCAGCCTCGTCCGTGCTACTTGCGCCACGCAGAAAGCTCGGCGTTAACATTAGGATTTCGTCGCCACACCTGTGCTGACCAATGGTACGCTTAAAGATGCTTCTGCATCTGTGGGTCCATAGTCCTTACGCATGGGCACACCCTCAATTTTCTTAACCTTGTTGCCCTCCTGCCACATGATGTAGCCAGCAGCACCAGACACGCCACAGGCTAGTGCAACAAAAAGTCCCGTGGCCCATGACGGCCTCTGTATACGGTCGTAGTGCCACATGTAGAAGCACAGGCATATCTGAAAGAGTGTGTTCCAAACATTGAACCAGACAACAACGTCCATGGTCCAGCTCTTGGTTGGCGGGGCGCGCATGGCTGTCGGCGGTGGGTCTGGGATCGCCGTGACGGGGATGGGTACAGCAGGGTTCAGAGGGTCGACGTAAGTTGCATCGGCGTCATCTGGTACCTTATCGGACCCAGGAAGTCTAAACCACTCTCGATGTATGCCGGCTAATCGTCGAATGCCCGTCTCGGTGCGCTTTGATCCACCAATCCTCCACCAAGCCCACCAGTACAAGTCGCGGAAACGCCATGGAGCCAGACCAAAACCTGTAACGCAGAAGAGTGCATTAAGGATCTGGGAATCAATCTCCATCCAAATGCGCCGTGGTGAATTGATATCGTCACACGTAGGCTTGCACATGGCCGGTGCGGCGTTGCAGAGAAGAAGGAACAACATGCCACCCCATGCAACAATGTTGAGACAGTACAGTGTGATGAGGAAGCCCGCAGGGGTGAGAAACCACTTCCAGAAGCTCTTGAGACTGATGGCAAGGGTTTGTTTCCATGGGAGTTTTGGTGGCGGAACGTAGCCATTTGTATACTGTCTGTTATGAGTACAATTGCAGAGAGGAGTGAGACATTTGACGTACCCGGCCTGAAGATGTTCTCTTGGGCTGTTGTGACCTGTCGCCATCAGCATACTCGGCTGCTGTGTCAGAACTGTGCTTTGACGATGCGCCGGGTCCAGCATTATGTTGAGCGTCATGTTCTAATATTTGATGTGTGTCTTCTTCGACCAAGGCTGGAAAAGATTCGGCGCCCAACACATTGTTGGATGAGTTCTTGCGTGTCGCAGCATGCGAGGGCTCTGGCTGTTCTGATGCTGCTGTTACAGTCGTAGATGTTCGCGACCCTGACGCACGCCGACTAGCTCGGGACCCTGCTCTACTGCGTTGCGCATGTTCATTCCAGCCATCGGAACCAAAGGAGCCCGTCCTAATGTCTGAAAGAGAGGGTGCCCTGGCTGCAGTAGTACCGGTTGCTGCCCACATACTCGGTGGAGGGTTTGCGTCCATTAGCTTGCCAGTGGCGCTTCGCAGTCTACTCGAGACGGTTGAGGCATTTGTTGATGATCGGTCGCGGCCATTGGTGGTAGGTGACTCTGGGACAGCGTTGGACGTGTCCTGGTTGGCGATACCTGGGGGCTGTGGAAATGGCACCGGCGTGGGTATGTTGCTGTTCGGGGACGCCATGGGTGAGAGAGAAAGTGGTTGGTCGGCGCCCTTGGTTATGTACAGGTTGTGAATATCCCCCTTGCGGCTCAATGTGCCAGCCAAGGTGGTTGATGATGGATAGTGCAGTGCCGCGTTGGCTTGGCGGGATCCTTGCTTTTGCTGGATTATCCCCTACGGCGGTGTATGACGTGTGGTGTCGAATCTGTTGGGGGGATGACTGGCATTGTGTTATCGGGCGCCATGGCACCCTTATACTTTGGCGCGGACATTGCAGACGATGGGGTGGTGGAGGGGCTACTGCTTCGGGGGCGGCTCCTGCGCTGTCGAACCCCAGATCCACCTCCCTGCAGAGTTTGAGCCACACGCTAGACGCATCCTGCAGTGGAAGGACGCGTACAGCCACTCCGCCACAATCGGGACCACTTCTGTCTTGTCGTTGTGTGTGTATGTGTGTCTGTTGTTCACCATACCCAACCATCCGTTGCCAGCAATCCAGCGTTGCGCAGCCCTTGAACTCGACTTGTTGCATGAAGAAATCTCTTATGTGTCATTGTGGAGTTTGATTTGGCGGTGAGGCAATCAAGCAGACAAAATTTGCTACAAGACATGGTAGACTACGCGCAAACAGAGAGACGCTGTATGAACATGAAGCTTCATTTGATGTCATTTTATGTATACCGTGAATCATTTCTCGTGTGCACCGGTGGCACGTACAAAGTTTTAAGTCCAACCCCATCACTGCCCACAGTCACAGAAGCAAGAACTTGGAAGGCAGCACAACAACCATCGAAAGTTAGGCTAGACCTGGCTGCAGTTGAGAGTAGTTTTCAGCAAGCCATACTAAATCGGTGCTAATATGAATGTTAAGGTAAAATGCGCAATCCGTGACTCGGCCATACTATGCTCCCCGACTGCTTGTTTAGAGCAGTGCAAAAGCACCGGCAGCGGCTGCCGCGAGCGGGGCGAGATGGGCGTTAGCATTGAGTGCCACGGCGTTGCCGGTTGCCGTGGGCGCCCCAGAGCTGGTTGGGCTTCTCGTGCTGCCTGTTTGGGACGAAGAGCTGCGTGCCTGGGACGAAGAAGTGCCCGTGGAGGTTACAGAGGCGCCAGTAGAAATGGGCGTCTCGCCGGCAGGAATGGTCATGACGCCAGTGACGGTGGAGAGAGAAGGGTCTGTGATGATGGAGGCGATGGATTCTGAAATGGGCCGAGGCAAGGGGACGGGGGTGCCCAGGCTGGCATTAGGTGTACTGGAGCCTGGTCGAGTCAGTGCGTGGTGCTGGTAGACATGCATTGCATGCCAAGTACTTAGTCAGATTCAAGATACTTACATGGCGAGGGCGGGCACGGCTCCATGAAGCATTCCTCGAAGCAGGACCATGGGTCTTGGGCCGGAACCGATGTCTGGATGGTGAAGGCGCCCTCGCTGGTGGACGTAGGGCTGGCAGAGGGCGAGGCTGTCGTGGAGGCGTCTTGTGCGACGGCGACGCTAGCCAGAAGCAGCAGGACAGTAGAGGCGGAGATGGAGGTAGATGCGAGCATGGCGGCGACTATCTTGAAGGATGGTGCAGTGGTAGTTGGCTGTCTGGCTGCGTCTACAAGAAGAGGGTGATGTGCATGATGCAGCGGCAGCGGCAGCGGGGGGTATAAGAAGGGCGTGTCTGTCGCTGCCTAGGTGAATGCCACGGCCATGGACGGCGGCGGGCTGCTCTCGTGAGTGGTGGGGAGACAGTCGAGATCTTCGCTCCTTCCGCAACCGCGTAGCTTCCTCGTCACCCCAGCAGCCTGCGCACCCTGCGACGCCGTCGACTGCCAATTATCCTCGACCTCGCAGCGGCGCCCAGGCCCGGACATGACGACGTCTGCTGTGCAATGCGCCATCAGAATGGCCGTTGCGCCGGCCCCGCTACAAACCTTCGTATCAGCGTCGTCGTCGCAACATGCTGCCACGACGCACCTTCCCAATGAGATTTCGCTCGCCCGCCAGATCATGCACAATCTCCAGCACCAGCACTACTGGACTGCCCTGTGCCTTCACACGCACTCGCCCATCACAAACGACCCTCTGCCCCGTCCCCTCGTCTCTGGCCTCCCGCCCCGCCGCCTCTACGTCCACCCCGACGAGCAGGTCGAGCTGCTCAAGAAGGCCGACCGCGAGAGAAAGGCCCGCGCACCCGGTGAGCCTGCTGCTCTTGAGGTCAAGGCCGACCCCGAGCGCGAATGGATCCTGCCCACCAGGCTCAAGGAGCAGTGGACATTGCGCAGGCTGGCCAGCGTCTTTGATGCCATTGCCATCATCCCGCCACACGAGACGGATACAACAGACACGACAAGCCCGGCCAACCCGTGGCGGACCACCAAGCGTGTGGTGCTGGCCACGGTCGACACGGATAGCACCGTCGTCTATTACATAGTCCACGATGGCGTGGTCAAGCCTCGCCAAAACTGAGCGCTGTAGAAAAGAAAAGAAACTTGCATTTGCGCCGCTACCCATGTTGAATGTTCAAGGTGAAGGCGTGACTTGAGGTGGCTGGGCCTAGCCACTGAATACTTTACCTATATATACTCTCTCTCTCTCTTGAACTACTATAGTTAGCTAATAAATCTGTCATCTAATAGGTTACAAGCCTAAATTTCTACCATAAAAAACTTCCTCTCCTCTACGCTCTATATAATTCTAAGGCTTTGGCCTTTAGAGAAACATTTGCGTGGAAAACTTCATTGATTCATGACTAATTACAGCACATCACTCTCTAAATCTGTCCATCGACACCGTCATGCACCTGCAGCGCCAACACGAGCGACATGAGCCTGCAACTCTATAGACTACATCAGCTCATCACCCTCCACCGCCGCCGCCGCCGCCGCCACGACCAACTCGTCCCGAAAGAACCATAATATCATCCCTATACATTCCTCGCTCTCCTCCAATCGGGATCGGTACCCAATGTGAGAGACTCGCCTCTGGCGGGGGGCACGAGAAATACTATAGCCAAAAGAGGAATATCTCGACAGTGGAATATATAAGAGTAGTATTACAGATAATAATTAAAATAGAATAATAGTATTGAAAAGAAAGAATATAAAAAAGAAATAAAAGATAGATAGACTAGATAAGTATTGTCTTTATATAAAGATAGATGTTACAAGTAACAAGAAGGATTCTCTCCTTGACAAATGACGAGATGGCTGAAGGCCTAGGGACGTCCACGTCAGAAGGTAATGATCAACGCGGGGCGAAGATCACGTGATATGGCATCTCGCCAAGACAGGACATCTGGAGA